TGAGTTGGGTCCGATTCAACAGCACATAACAACAACAACAACAACTAGGACATGACAAAGAAAGTCTAAGCAGCTGTCAGTAATGTTTTCTAAGTACAAAGTTACACAAGCTGGGTCTAAGAATCCTTGGAGGTTCTATTACTTAAAGTTATATTATTTCAAAGTTCCATATTTTCATTTTGAGAAAACTTGAAGTATATTACTGTAAGTATATTTAAAAAAAAAAAAAACTCGCTGCCAGAGTCAAGTCTGACTCAGAGTGACCCACATTGGGTTTCAGAGACTGTAAATTTTTATGGAAGTAGATTGTCCCATCTGCTTTCCACACAGAGACTGGGGGTTTGAACCACCAAACCTCTAGTTAGCAGTCAAATGCGTTAGGCACTACACCACCAGAGCTTCTTTTACTTTAAATATATTATGGATCATTTCTATGTGCATCTTTTAATTGCATGGTAATTGTACTTAAAATCATGTTGACACCAGTGCTAGAGGTTTTTTTTTCTTAAACCCATTAAAACTTAGAGAAATATTGTTCTGGTATTCAGTATTCACTGGACAAGAAATTCTTCATTTTATCTATACCCAACAGCTTGGTCTAAATTAATGTTGAATCTCAAACTCAGACATTTGGAAGGCAAAGAATCACCTAAAATTTAATTTGGAGTGAAAATTAATGTGAACAGCAACATTCTCAGGATGCTTTTTTGCCTGTAATTCTAATACTGTTAGATAAAGTGATATAACCTACATTTTTATTGTTTTTATACCATTATAACTGGAAACATGGCAAGAATTTCATTGTTCATAAGTAAAAGTAGGCGTTACTATATGACTTATAACCTCAGCTGATAGAATTTAAAATGAAATAGCTCTCTTTGAGGCATTTATTAAGAGAAACTGTTGGTTAAAAAAAATATTTTAATTTATGGTTTCTTCTGAAGTAGGTTGAGTGTATGCACTTAAGTAACATTTTCTTGATTCTTTATCCTATTTTTATTTGTATATATACATGAAGGACTGTTGCATGTATTCTGCATTATGTATTTCATTTGCATTTATTACTATTGAGACCTTATTTTTGGATGACTAAGCATAAGATTGGGAGCTCTGGTAGCATAGTGGCTAAGACACTTGCCTGCTAACCAGACGGCTGGCGGTTCAAACCCACCAGCCACTCTGTAGAAGAAAGATGAGGCACTCTACTTCTATAAAGATTTACAGCCTTGGAAACCCAATGGCGGTCACTCACTATGAGTCAGAATCAACTCGGAGGCAGTGGGTTTGGTTTCGTTTGGTAAGTATGAAATGGAGTGGGTAACAGGAAGAGAAGTACATGAGAGTCTACTTATTGGGTTTTCAGAGTGATTTTAAACATGGATTGCAATCCACTTTTAAATTAGCTTGTGGAAAAAACAACACAAATTACAGTGAAAAGAAGTCAGCATTTAACTTTATAACAGTCATATCTCTTGACATTACAAAAGTCAATGAAGAGAAAGAATGGTGTTAAACATAAACTAAACACAGCTCTGGTGTGAAGGCTCTATTTTTGCCTCTACAGGTGTTCATTTGTACTACGTTGGGGGGGAAGTCTATGCCGAGTGCGTGAGCGACAGCAGCATCTTTGTACAGAGCCGTAACTGCAACTACCAGCATGGCTTCCACCCAGCCACTGTTTGTAAGATCCCCAGTGGCTGTAGCCTCAAGATCTTCAACAACCAGCTCTTTGCTCAGCTGCTTGCACAATCAGTCCACCATGGATTTGAAGTGGTTTATGAGTTAACAAAGATGTGCACTATCCGAATGAGTTTTGTTAAGGTAAAAGTGCTTTTAATGAAATGATAAAGTGGCAATAATATTGTCATAAGATTTAATGCTACAGAGATTTTTCCATCCCGCTAATTGCTGAGCATTATTGCCAGTCAGTAAATACTTGTTGAATTTACTTGTGTTAAATAAGATACTCCTTACTCTTAGAAAGCATACAGACAAAGAGAGAAGAAAATATTTATAAATAAGTTTTGTAGTTTTTTAGTGCTGTGTAACAGATGTATCACAGGTAGGTGGTTTTAGAGAACAGGAGTTTATTTTCTTACAGGCAGGAAGCTAAAAGTCCAAATTCAGAGCACCAGCTAAAGGGGAAGGCTCTCTTTTTGTCATCTCTGTCTCCTTCAGCTGCTGTAGACTCTGCATTCCTTGGTTCCTTGGTGATTCTCAAATGACCTCTGTTTGTGCTTCCTTATCTGTGTGTGTGTGTGTGTGTGTGTGTGTGTGTTGCTCCGTGTAACTCAGAAGTCGTTAAGTTTAGGACAAACCACACACTAATGTGACATAACAAAGAAAACCCTATTTACACACAGAATTACATCTACAGGTATAGGTTTTAGAATTCCAGTAAATACTGTGGAGGGACACAGTTCAATCCATAACAAAAACTAAAAACCAAATTAGTTGCTGTCAGGTCGATTTTGACTTACAGTAACTCCATATGTTTTTAAAGTAGAACTCCTCCCCCATAGGGTTTTCATGGCTGTGACCTATGTGAAACAGATCACCAGGCACCTCGAGGTAGGTTTGAACTGTTAGCCTTCCTATTAGTAGCATGTACTTAACTACTTGTGTCACTAAACCAAAAAAACCAAACTCACTGCCATTGAGTCATTTCTGACTCATAGTGGCCCCCATTGGGTTTGCAGGGCTGTAAATCTTTACTGAAGTAGATCACCCTATCTTCCTTCAGCAGAGCAGCTGGTGGGTTTGAGTCACTGACCTTCCAGTTAGAAGTCAAGTGACTTACCCACTACACCACTGTAGAATAGATGGAACTGCCTCTAATACAACACAGTATGTATTATGGGCATGACAGAGCAGAGGGGCAGCCAGGGACCCAGGTAAGGGGAGTGACCCAGGCCCCAACCCCACCAGCCAGGAAATCCGGGTAAAGAGAATCCAGAGGGGATGACAGATCAGAGCAGCAGCCAGAGATCCAGATAAGGGGAGCAACCCAGGCCTCACCCCCACCAGCCAGGAAAGTGAGGAAAAGAGAAACCAGAGGGCAAGACAGAGCAGAGCAGCAGCCAGGGATCCAGGGAAGGGTTTCCCCAGGCCACCCACACCAGCCAGGAAAGCCAGGGAAAGAGAACCCAGAGGGGATGACAGAGAAGAGCAATAGCCAGAGATCCAGGTAAGGGGAGCAACCCCGGCGACCACCCCCCCCCCACCAGCCAGGAAAGCGGGGAAAGAGAAGCCAGGGGCACAACAGAGCAGAGCAGTGCCAGGGATCTAGGTAAGGGGAGGGCAAGGAGGTTTTGAACAGCTAAGCGAGACAAACTTGTCTTCAGCTTATCGTACTATTGTGGCTTGCATGTTGCTGTGAGGCTTGAGGCTGCCCCACTGGTGTTTAAAGTTCCAGCAGGGTTGCACATGGTGCACAGTTTCAAAGCAGCTTACAGACTGAGATAGACTAGGAAGAAGGAAGAGGCCGTCCCACTTCTCAAAGAATTAGCCAGGGAAAACCTTATAAATAGCAGAGAAACACTGTCTGATACATTAGTGCGCAACTTTATGAATAGCCCAGCAACATTATCTGATGCAGTGCAGGAGAACAAGCCCCTTAGGTCAGAAGGCTTTCAAAATATGACTAGGATGTGAGTGATCAACATGGTGGCATTGAGAAAGAGGAAGACATAGAGCAGTACATGGGAGGTGCAGACAACAAAGATGTACCCTTTTGCACATATGGTACTACATTGTCAGTGAAGGCAAACATGGGTATACAGGTGGATAGATGGGTGGACAGGCTGAACTATTAGGTATGTCTGTGCAGCAAGGAGTGTAGTCAAGACCATGTATAGAGTTGGCAGACAATGGTTCTACAAGTGTTATTTGTATGTTCTGTAAGAATTCCCAGGTATATAGTAGAGAGTGACAAGGGACAGGGTTGTCATCACTTCTTGGTCACAACCAGCTACCCAGAGGAAGCAAGCAGTTGAACCTGTGGGCTTCAGGCGAGAGTTGCAGGGGACGTCAAGCTCAATTGGCATAACATACTGCACAAAACATTGTTCCACCTCCTACTTTGGTGAGTAGCAACTGGGATCTTAAAAGCTTGCAAGGAGCCATCTGGATGCAACGATGGGTCTCTCCTTGTCCAGAGCAAAGAAGAATGAAAAAAACTAAAGATTCATGGAAAGAATTAGTACTTGCGACAGGTACACCATATGATTCTCAGCCTATACGACTGTGAAACCAGAAGAACTAGATGATGCCTGGCTACCACTGTCAACCACTCAGAGGGGGATCTATGTAGGAGATCCTGGATAGAGAGGGAGAACAATGTGGACCCAAAAAAAAAAAAAAAATGGAAAAAAAAAAATACCAGGTTTGTTGGTCTGATAGAGCCTGGTGGAACTTCTGAGACTCTGGTCCCTAGCTGCCCTTTGGGTCTTGAATTCAACCCACACCTGTGGCTTCCAGCCAAACAAAAGACAGGTGTATAAGTTGAACATTTACCTGAGGTAGATACATTCCTTGGAGAGAGCAATCATGGGAGAAAGAAGGGCTGTTTATGCACAGGGAGAAAGCTCGGGGCAGGAGTGCATGGAGGGATGAACACAGGGAAGAGGTAACTATTGGGACAAAGTGGGAGGGGAGCTGTCACATTTGGGTAAATTGTAATCAATGTCTTGACACAATGTGTGTGTGAACTGCTGTATGGAAAGTGAATTTGCTCTGTACACTTTCAACCCAAATCACACACACACACACACACACAAAATATTAATAGGAAAGAGCTGCATCATCAAAGTAGGGCCAACCTTACTAATAGGAATAAAGTAGAGCTTTCAAGACCTCCATTTGCTGATGTGGCATGACTCAAATTGCAGACATCCACTAATAATACGAACATGGAATGTACAAAGTATGAATCTAGGAAAGTTGGAAGTTGTCAAAAATGAAATGGAATACATAAAGATTGATATCCTAAGCATTAGTGAGATGGAATGGACTGGTTTTGGCCATTTTCAATCAGATAACCATACTACTGTGGTTTCATACAGATAGCCATACTACTATGCCAGGAATGGCAATTGAAGAGGACAATTGAAGAGGAAACAAAAGATGTTTCAAGATCTGTCCTGAAGTACAGTGCTGTCAGTGATAAGATAATATCCATATGCTTACAAGGAAGACCAGTTAATATGACTATTATTCAAATTTATGCACCAGCCACCAAAGCCAAAGATGAGGAAATTGAAGATTTTTATCAACTTCTGCAGTCTGAAATTGACCAAATATGCAATCAAGATGTGTTAATCATCACTGTGACTGGAGACCAAAAGTTGGAAACAAAGAAGAATCACCGGTAGTTGGGAAATTGGGCCTTGGTGACAGAAATAATGCTGGAACTCGCTTGGTAGAATTTTGCAAGACCAACGACTGTTCATTGCAAACACCTTTTTTCAACAACACAAACGGCGGCTGTACATGTGGATTTCACCAGATGGAACACAGAGGAATCAGATTGACTGCATCTGTGGCAAGAGGGCTTGGAAAAGCTCAGTGTCTTCAGCCAAAACAAGGCCAGGAACTGATTGTGGAATAGACCATAAATTGCTCATATGCAAGTTCAACTTAAAGTTGAAGACAATTAAAACAAGTCCACAAGAGCCAATATATGACCTTGAATACATCCCTTCTGAATTTATAGACCATCTAAAGAATAGATTTGATGCATTGAACACCAGTGACCAAAAACCAGGAGAATTGTGGGATGACATCAAGAACATCATCCGTGAAGAAACCAAGAAATCATTAAAAAGACGAGAAAAGAAGAAAAGGCCAAAATAGATGTCAAAAGAGACTCTGAAACTTGCTCTTGAATGGAGAGTAGCTAAAGCAAATGGAAGAAATGACAATATAAAAGAGCTGAACAGAAGATTTCAAAGATCAGCTCAAGCAGACAAAGCCAAGTACTATAATAAAATGTGCAAGGGCCTGGAGTTAGAGAACCAAAAGGGAAGAACACACTTGGCATTACTCGAACTGAAAGAACTGAGGAAAAAACTTAAGCCTCGAGTTGTAATATTGAAAGATTCTATGGGGAAAATATTGAATGATACAGGAAGCATCAAAAGAAAATGGAAGGAATACATAGAATCACTGTACTGAAAAGAACTGGTTGATCTTCATCCATTTCAGGAGGGGGCATATGATCAAGAACCAATGGTACCGAAGGAAGAAGGCAAAGCTGCACTGAAGGAATTGGCGAAGAACAAGGCTCCAGGAATTGATGGAATACCCATTGAGATGTTTCAACACTGGAGGCATTCACTCCTTTATGCCAAGAGATTTGGAAGACAGCTACCTGACCAACTGACTGGAAGAGATCCATATTTTTTCCCATTCCAAAGAGAGGTGATCCCACAGAATGTAGAAATTACCGAACAATATCATTAGTATCGCACGCAAGTAAAATCTTACTGAAAATAATTCAAAAGCGGTTGCAGCAGTATATTTGCAGAGAGCTTCCAGAGGTGCAGGCTGGATTCAGAAGAGGACATGGAACAAGAGGTATCATTGCTGATGTCACATGGATCTTGGCTCAAAGCAAAGAATACCAGAAAGATGTTTACTTGTGTTTTATTGACTATGAAAAAGCATATGATTGCATGGATCATAACAAATTGTGTATAACATTGAGAAGAATGGGAATTCCTGAACACTTAATTGTACTCATGAGGAACCTGCACATAGACCAGGAGGCTGTCATTCAAACAGAACAAAGGGACACTGCATGGTTTAAAATCAAGAAGGGA